TTTAGGGTTTTCTATACAAATGGGAATGGTAGGGTTTTAACTTAAGGTTGGATTCTTAAGGTTTGTCTACGAGGTTCAAAGGCTTTAATGATTTAAAGGTTTTTTAAATTATTCTTCACATCATTATCCATTATAAATTAGTAAGGCACTAAAATTCTCACCTACCATTATAAGCTCAAACATAGGGTTCAATTTAAATGGAAGTTTTCACTCGCTCACACGAAGGTTATTACCTTACAAAAGTATAGGTATTTGCTCTCTCCTAAGAAATGACAAAGTTCGGGTCTAAAACTTATGCATAAATGCAAGCATAGTGTGTGAAGGAACATTTCAACCCAAATAATCGAATAAATTAATACACATGAAAAATAAAAATTTACAAAATAAAACTAATAAATTAGTACATAAAAAATCATTGGCTACAAAATAAACAAATAAGTTAGTGCACATGAAAAATTATTACATAATAAAATCATCAAAACAAGGCTTAAGATAATACACAACTAACTAATGACTTGACTCTGTAATATTCCTAGCAGAGTCGCTAGATTGTCATAACTTTTAAGTATGAAAACATTCTCATTAGACACAAAATATATGAAGTCATCATTAATCTATTTTATCTAAGTATAATTGGCTACTTATATGAATCTATTTTTTTAATGTTATCCTAAGCTTAACTAAAGGTCTCTAAAAAAATAAGCTCTAGTCTGCATCATACAAACTAAGTTTGAGAGTCAGTTACACGTAGGAAAGGTTTTAATACCCCATTATGCTCAAAATTGGTACTAAATTAGTCACATGTTATCTTATTCAAGCCTTAATTCAAAGATGGTTTTTTATTAATTTTGATATTTAAATATTGAAAAAAAATGTTTAGGCTTTCACTAAAAAAAAACTTTTTTCATCTCAAGACTATTCAAGATAAACTCATTGTTTACTTAAAGAGGCTTCATTGTTGGATTTAAATATCTTTTAAAAAAATCAAATTCCCATTCCTTTTATTTATTTACAAAATAATATCATTAAAAGAATGATACAAACATATTTAGAAGTTTTTAATTATAAAATAATAAATTTACACTTTTCTAAAAAAAACATAATTCAATTTTTATTTACATCAATTAAATTAAAAATCAATAAAAAATTGAAATAAAAAAGAATGAATAGATAAATAAATATAGAAATAAATAAGTAAACAAACTAGCCATACAAAATAATTTCATAAAAGAATAATTATCATAAATATTATCCCCAGCCACAACAAATAAATATAATATCATAAAAATAAAAGAAAGTGTACCTAATCAATGTTCTTGGATCAACTTGAAATAAAGCCTACTCCTAGAAAAATTTTGTTTGACTTTGTTTGCTTTAATATCATGTATATAGCTCTTTCTTTTTTTTATTTGATGATTATTCTTCTCTCTCTTATTGAGAACTTTTTTTCTCAAAACTCAAAGCTTTGTGTTGTTTGATAATTGTTTATTATGTTGCTTCTTTTGTTTGATTGATGATGATTTCAAATTGAGAATTGAATTCTTTATATAGAGATTAAATTCCTTTCAATTTGAAAAATTTTAATGCCAATTGAATCTATCAAGATCTTGTCAAAATTTCTTTTCCTTCTTATAGAAACTTGATTGCCAAGAATTATCAAAATCAAACTTGACTTTTAAATTTCAAATATAAATAAAATCACAATCTTTAAAAATTCAAAATTTATGTTTTTTTTTTTTACCAAAAAACAAAACATAAATAAATACTTTTGGATCTTTAAATTTGGGTTTAAAAAATTACTTTTAAAATCCAATATCAAAATATAATTCAAGAGCCTACAATATTTAAAAAAAAAAAACTCAAACAAAATTCGAATCTACACATACTTACTTTTTAAAACTTGCACTCAATCTAATTTCATGCTCAAGTTGGGATTGATGTTAATCTCCATGATTCTTCTAGACTCATTAACCAAAATATTAATAGTGTGTCGATAGGAGGACAATTCGACAATAAAATATTTAGAATTTTCAATTTGAAAGTCTCAGATTTAATGTTGAGAGAAAATTGTAAGATTTACAATATCTAAAAAACTTGTTGTTAATTATTTAATTAGTTCAAAAGGAACTCTAATTAGACTTCAAAAATTATGCAAAAATCAGCATATATATGCAAGCGTTCACACATCATTTGTGGTGCGTCAGCGTGATAAATTCATCAAAGATGCATTTCGGCTAGGGTAAGAACATTTGCCTCTTAGATTCTCCACTCTTGGCTTGAATTCTTCATGGCTTATGCCAGTGTATGTGTATTTGACTCAGTTTTGGGCCTTTTTTTACATAATGCCCCAGCTTGATTTTGAAGATTAAAAGTACCAAGGATAAGAGATATTAACATTTGAAGTTTTGAAAAAGATTTAGATGAAGTTTTTTATATAAAGTTTGTAAATTTTTTTATTTGAAATAATTAAATAAAAACTAAAATTGAAAATCAAAATCGATGATTGAAAGGTCTCTTACATAGATTAAGTACGTAAAATTGAAAAAAAATTTAATATATATTTTATATAGATATTTTCAGTAAAAATATTAATAAGATTTTTACTATTAAATAAATATTGATATAATTTGAATTATAAATAATAATTTTAATATTTTTACACATTATTAATATTTATATTAAACTCTATCAATCTATGAATTTTAATTTTTTATTAAATCATTTTTAAAAAAAACTTCGTAAACTTTAAAAATTTCATATAAGTTTTGTTCTAAAACTTATACACTAACATTATATCAAATATAAACCCTAATAAATAATCTCCATTTGCCTTATTATCATTTTTATCATGAAGGTAAAAAGAAGAAAGCCTAAACAATAGTAATATATTTAAGCTGCTTTTTTTCCTCTTGTCGTCTTGGAAAAAAAAAAAGAAAAAAAAGTTAAAGATATTGCTAGCGCTTCAAGTTATATATACCATTTGTGAGTGGGGAATACTTTGTATGCTCCTAAAAGAAGGAATCAGATAAGGTTTGAGGTCTAAGAAAAATATATTTGATTGTATTCATGGTGAAAGTGACTCTTCTTAAGGTTTTATACGTGTGTGTATATATATATATATTGGTAATTGTAATTAGTTAAATTAAAATGGGTTTATATTCGATATATTGTCAATGTATAATGTTATACATTGTCAATGAATTACACAATAATACATCATTAAAGAAATTAATTTTAAATATATTCTTAAGATTAAGTATATTTATTTTTAAGATTTTAAAATTTTTAAAATTAATTTTTTAATAAAATATCATTGTATGATTCACTATAATATATAGTATCTATTCACTAATAATACATCAAATATAATCTCAATTAAAACATCTTAATAAAAAAAAAGAAAAGAAAAGATGTGATATGAATTCTAATTAAAAATTGATTATCATTTCCTGCCTTAAGAGCAAATTAAAAAACGTATTAAGTCATGTTAGTTTGGTCAATCAAATCAAATCTTATCGTATCACATATAATATGACCTAAAAATTATCGATAAATTAGCATCAGTTAGCATTCACAAATTTCATATGCATAAATTAGCATTTGATATCAATTATGAAGATCTATACTCAAGTTATCAGATATTATCTATTTTAATTTAAAATTTTACAATTTTATCTTTTAAAAAATAATACACACATATGAATTCTAGTTTTTATGTATATATTATATATACTAGGCGTTTATATTCAGTCTTAAGAACAAATTAAAAAACTTATTGGATTACATTAATTTAAAATATGCAGATGATTTGGTGTGGAAATTATGGTTAAATTAGCATAGATTGGGATTCACAAACTCCAATTGTAGATCATGATCTTTAGACCAGTGATCAAAGATAAAAGATACTGATTTCTTTTTATAATCTTATAAATATTATTGTCTTTCTAAAACTAAGAACCTTTTTCTTTAATAACAGTGTACTATGTTTTTGCTTTATGATTTTCAATCATAGTTTAATCAATATAACTTTTTAGTGTTCACATTAATTTTCACAAAACGTGAAAAGAAATATATTCCTTTTCTTTTTTGAAAGATGGGTTGGAATTTTAAATAGATTTTGGACTCATATATTAATGTTAGAAGTAGCATACGCAAATATTTACAAGTCAATTGATAATAGACTAGCTGTTGATTCTTCAAAGTTTTTTTTTTTTTATTTGAAAGTTATTACAAAGATGTGTTTTGAATTCCAAATTTAAAATATTAAGTTTGAGGACATAACAACAATTTGTCTTTACCCAATATAATTATAAATTTATTCTTTGTACATACGTATTATTAATTTTTAGAAACATTTCAGACAAGCCCAAAAATTTAAAAAAAAAAAAACCCCTCTAGTTTAAATGTTTCCTTTTTGTTTTCAATTTTTTTTTTCTTTCAAAATTTCTCATTCTAGCCAAATGCCTATTGTAACCCCTAACTTGTAACTTGAATATAGATTGCTCCACCAATCGGATTTTGGATATGAATTTTGAAATTCGAGCTTAATCTAAACTATTATTTAATTAATAAAAAATCATTTGATTTAAAATTAATTGTAAAAATATATGAAATATTAATATAAAAATAAATTTTAAAATAATTTAATATTTTATTAATAATAACATGAGCATATTCGAACCCAATGCATCAAACCATTAGACAAGGAGTCAAGTTTGGTTTGGTTTGGTTTGATCCAATCCATGAATACTTTTACATAGAACCTTTTGGACTATGCTGCCATCAAATTATATACGAGAAATATACTAATTAACATCAAACTAGTATATATAAAACCAAGTTTATATGTTTTTTTTAGGATATTGACTTTAAATTTAGAGCTATTCATGAGCAAAGTGATCTGCTCTTCCTCGTTAAAAGCTAAGGCATGCACAACGTAATTATTTTGTAGTTAAAAGCTAAAAATCTTAAAGAAGATATTGCTAATTAATAAGAGACTCGTAAATATAAATTTAATACATTTTCATTTGATTTAAAAGTTATGCCAAAGCAACTAAACATTGCAAGTATTCACACTACGTTTGTAAAATTCCACACCACTGATGGACAATAATTATGTACATTGTCTCGCATAAGAACCTACTTTTTAAAGTTTTAGGCATAGGTATTTTTGTGTATTAATTTGATTCTCGATTTTACGTTGCATGGATTCTCCTGGGCAAATCTACTATAAATTCATCGAGTTTTTCCTAAAGAAGACAACTTAAATTAAAGGATTTGAAATAGAAAAAGAAAATGGGACCGCAACAAAGCATGCTGTTTCCACCTCCACCAATTATTAATCCGTTACCTTTTCCGGGGCTTATACCGGATTATCCAAACCCTAACCCTAATCGGAAGCCCGAACCAGGAGATCACATCTACAGCGAAAGGAGCGGAGGTCTCTACGATCATCATGGTTTGCTTCTTTTTTCTTTTCATGATTTATGATTAAAGGATTTTGTTCATGGAGAAGATGGATCATAATAACTTAGTATGTCATAATTTGGCTATTTTTGACACCAGGAATTTATGTGGGCGATGACATGGTCATTCACCTCCAGGGACCTGCCAAACAAAAACATATTGGGTCTTCAGCTCCATGTCAAAAATGTGGATACAAGCGAGACTTCATTGGTGGAGTCATCAAAACCTGCCTCGATTGTTTCCTTGATGGTCACTCACTTCACTTTTATGAATATGGAGTCCCCTTTGTTGTTTTCAATAGGAGACGACGTGGTACTTGCCACGTAGGCCATTCCAAGCCAGCCTATGAAGTTATTAAGACAGCCACAGATTTCCTGGAAGGGAACGGCTTCGGCTGCTATGACATGTTTGCAAACAATTGCGAGGACTTTGCTGTGTACTGCAAAACAGGCACGGCAATAAGTCATCAGGTCATGGGCCATATTGGAAATCCTCTCGTAACAATTGGTCTGGGACCTCTGGGTGTAGGCCTCACGGGAGCTTATGGTCTTGCAAAAGTAATTACCGAGGCCCAAAGACGCCGATAAGAACAGATCAAGATCGTGGTCACTTCCAGAAATTTACGAGGCAAAATGTTATAAATAAGAATAAGGAATGATACGCTGAGGCCCAATAACTAATGTAGGAAATTAAGGGCAGGACTATAGTGTTGAGAATCACGTGTGTATGTGCGGGTTTGAAGGTGATATATATAATATATAAATTGAGAATCCAAAAATTTATTAACTTAGATTTTTGGATACAAGTGATGTCTATTGTCAAAATAATTTTGGAATCTTTAAATGAAATTTTAAAATTAAAATCAAAATAGTGAATTATTATTAATTTTTTAGTAGATATGATTGGTTGTCTAAAAAATTATTATTTTATTAAAATTTTAAAATTAATTAACTTATTAAAAAAATTTTTAGGTCTGCAAATAATAAAGCAGAGTTTGGAAGTATGATTATATATGAAAAAAAATTAGTACCTCACATCACTCATTTTAAAAATAATATTAATTGATTATGTATTATCATTTTGCTTTTATAAATATAATCTTAATTTTAATATTTAAAATAATTCTCTTGATTTTTTTATTTTTGTAAAAATCATTTTAAAACATATTATTTAAGAATAAAATGAAAATTTTTAATCTTAAAATATTTTTTGAATTTCTCAATATCTAGACGAAATTTAAAAATATATTTTTTTCTCTTGAAATTTGCATAATAGCTTTTAAAATTTGACATAATATTCTTTTATAAAGAATAATTATTTAAAACTTTATTTGAGTAAGGTCTTAAAAATATTAAGTTCTTTATTTATAATAAAAATTATTTTCCAAAATCACCATTTATTGCTTTACATTTCTTTAACAATAATAAAATGCTTGTGATGCACATGAAGTAAATAAATAATGCAAATACAAATTAAAAGATTAAAATGACCAATTTAATTCAACTTATAAACCTTTAATTTTATCTCTTTTTTATTTTTTTCATCATTGTACCTTATTTTTTGAAAAATTTTAGTGATAAAATGAAGTATTTTGATATCAAACAGCTTTCTCTAATTCCCCAATATTTAAGTAGAATTTAAGAAAATTAATCCTTTAAAAAATTTTCATGATTCATTTGTGGTAAAGATGAAAGTGATATCCCTTGGTACAAGTGTGATTTGGATTCTCTCTAATATCTAGGTAAGATCTCCAAAATTATTTTCATTTTCTAAAAGAAAAATTTTTTGAAATGGTTATGATGCTATTTCATATCTATTATTAATGCACAAAATGCTTGATGATAACATAGATTAAATGACAAAAGTAATTATGTTTCTTTTCTAAATAGATAGTATTTATGATGAACATGCATTTTTTGTATTAGAAATATTTTTTTTTCACTTTCCAATATTTAAGTGAAGTTAAAACTTGAGAATTTCACATAATAGATTTTTAAAAAACAAATATATACTCCTTTGTTAAAAAAAAATTTTATTTGAATTCCTTCCAATATTTAAATAGGATTTCTAACATTTTCCGATTCAATTTATCATATATTATCTATTTTAATTTGAAATTTTCATTTAAACAAAAATCAATTCATACGTATAAATTCAAATTTTTACTTATATATTATAATGAATGTATTTCAGTGTGAGATTAATGAGGTGTTATATTCAGTCTTAAGAACAAATTAAAGAGCTTATTGGATTACATTAACATAAATTTGCAGATAATTTGGTTTGGAAATTATGGGTAAATTAGCAGATGCTGGCATTCACAAACTCCAATTCTAGATCATGATCATTACACCAGTGATCAAAGATAAAAGGCACTGATTTCTTTCTATAATCTTATAAATATTATTGTCTTTCTAAAGATAAGAACTTTTTTCTTTAATATTAGTGTACTATGGTTTTGCTTTATGAGATTCATCTTCTTTGAATCAATATAACTTTCTAGTGTTCACATTAATTTTCACAAAACGTGGAAAGAAATATATTCTTTTTCTCTTTTGAAAGATGGGTTGGAATTTTAAACAGATTTTAGACTCCTATATTAATGGTAGAAGTAGCATGTGCAAATATTCACAAGTCAATTGATAATAGACCAGCTGTTGATTCTTCAAATTTTTTTTTTTAATTTGAAAGTTATTACAAAGATGTGTTTTTAACTTCTCCAAATTTAAAATATTAAGTTTGAGGATATAAAAACAATTTGTCTTTACCCAATATAATTATAAATTTATTCTTTGTAAATACGTATTATAATTTTTTTTAGCAACATTTCATACAAAGTCCAAAAATTAGAAAAATACCCTCTAGTTTAAATGTTTCCTTTTTGTTTTCAATTTTTTTTATTTCTTGTTCTAGCAAAATGTTTACCGTAACCCGTAACTTGTAACTTGAAGAAAGATTTATCCACCAATTGAATTTTGAATATGAATTTTGAAATTTGAGCTCGACCTAAATTACTATTTAATTAATACAAATATTTTTATTTAAAATTAATTCAAAAAAATACGAAATATTAATATACAAATTATTTTAAAATATTTTAATATTTTATTAATAATAAAATGAGTATATTCGAACCCAATGGATCAAACCATTTGACAAGAAATCAAGTTTGGCTTGATCCGATCCATTCCATGAATACTTTTACGTAGAACCTTTTGGACTATGTTGCCATCAAATTGTATATGAGAAATATACTAATTAACATCAAACTAGTATATATAAAACCAAGTTTATAAGTTTTTTTAGGATATTGAATTTAAATTTAGAGCTATTCCTGAGCAAAGTGATCAGCACTTCGTTATAAGTTAAGCAATACACAACGTAATTATTTTGTAGTTAAAAGCTATAAATCTTAAAGAAAATATTGCTAATTAATAAGAGACTCGTAAATATAAATTTAATACATTTTCATTTGAGTTAAAAGTTATGCCAAAGCAACTAAACATTTCAAGCATTCACATTACGTTTGTAAAATTCCGCACCATTGATGGACAATAATTATGTACATTTTCTCGTATAAGAACCTACTTTTTTAAGTTTTAGAGCATAGGTATTTTCTTTTTATTAATTGATTCTCGATTTTACGTTGCTTGGATTCTCTGGGCAATTCTACTATAAATTCATCGAGTTTTTCATAAAGAAGACAACTTAAATTAAAGGATTTTAAATAGAAATTAAAAAAATGGGACTTTCACTGTCATCTTCTTCTTCTTCTTCGACATTTTTTACGGAGCATGTACCGATTGATCCAAACCCTTATTGGGAGCCCGAACCAGGAGATCACATCTACAGCGAAAGGAGCGGAGGTCTCTACTATCATCATGGTTTGCTTCTTTTTTCTTTTTTTTTTTGTTTCTTTTCATGATGTATAATTAAAGGATTTTATTGATCGAGATGATCGATCATAATAACTTAGTAAGTCAAAATTTGGCTGTTTTTGACACCAGGAATATATGTGGGCGATGACATGGTCATTCACCTCATGGCACCTCCAATAATTTATAATCGATTTTCAGATCCATGTCAAAAATGTGGATACAAAAGAAACTTCAGTAGTGGAGTCATCAAAACCTGCCTCCGTTGTTTCCTTGACGGTCACTCACTTCACGTTTGTGAATATAGATTCTCCAAGCCAGCCCATGAAGTTATTACGATGGCCACTGATTGCTTGGAATGGAATTATCTCTTTGGCCCGTATAACTTGTTAACAAACAATTGCGAGCACTTTGCTGTGTTCTGCAAAACAGGCTCGAAAGAAAGTGATCAGGTCAAGACCATATTCAAAAAAGTACTCCTCTAGCAATTGGTGTGGGTGGAGGCCTCATCGCAGCTATTATTGCAAAAGCGATCACCCGCGACTAATGACGCCCATAAGAACAGATAAAGCTCGTGGACATTTCCAGAATTGATTCACGAGGCAAAATGTTAATTTATAAGTATAAGGAATGATATGTCGAGGCCCAATAACTAACGTAGGAAATCATCGACGGATCTTGATCTTTAATTTTAAAACAGCTAAAGTAATATTTTACAATAATTTTTTTCAAAATATATCAAATTATTATTAATAAAAAAGATGCAAATATATAATATAACAAACTTATAATTATAAGTATGTTAATATGTAAATATATATAAAACAAAATAAATATATTAAATAATTGATCTTACGATTTTAATTATAAATCATAAACAATATTCTTTATAAAAATAAAATCATTATTTTTTTTTTACAATATTAACATATTATTTTTATCATATTTAATATTTAAAGTATTAAAATGAAAAAATAAAAAAAAAATTAGGTAAATTTGAAAACAATCAAGTAAAGACTTTGATACATAAATTAAAACCTTTCAATTTTTTACATAGTATTTTTACATTCTAAAAATTGAAAATGTATTTAAAGTAATCATATTAATTGTTTTGACATGTAACAATTTTCAAATAAAATGAGCATACATACTATAGTAAAAAAATTTAATGAAACAATGAATCACAATTAGATATTCATCAAATTGGTTTTAGTTATTCTATTACTTGCATGTATATTAAACTTAAATTTATATATTTATGAAAAAATAGTATTGACAAATTTATTACTCATTTTAAATTGGAAATTATTTATGATAAGTAAACAAAAGTTTTAAAAAAAATTTGAAATTAAAAATTGTAATATTTAGATACAAGTAATTTTTATAATTATATATTCACATAAATACATAAAATAAATAATAATATATATCAATACAATAAATTTAAGTTTGAGCGATCCAAACTAATTCTTTTATAAAAGAATTTAAATCTATTATGAAAATAACTTATGGTATTAAAAAAATTCAAAATTTTTGGGGGGCACAGGTTCTTTAAACCATCCGCCAATGTAGAAAATTAAGGGCAAAGCTAAAGTGTTGAGAATCACATATGTAAGTGCGTATTTGAATGTGATATATAATATATAAATCGAGAATTCAAAAATCTATTAACTTAGATTTTTGGATTCAAGTAGTATTTATTGTCATAATGATTTTGGGATCGTTAGATGAGATTATAAAATTAAAATAAAAATAGAGAGTTATCATCAATATTTTTTTATTAAGTATGATTAATCATTTAAAATTTGTTATTTTAATAAAATTTTAAAATTAATTAACTTATTAAAAAAAATTTAGGTTTGCAAATAATAAAATAGAGTTTGGAAATATGATTATGCATGGGAAAGAATTTACACTCTACAACACTCGTTTTTAAAATGAAAACAATTGATCATGTGTTATCATTTTGCTTTGATAAAAATTATCTTAATTTTAATATTTAAAATAATTCCCATCATTTTTTTTATTTTTTTAAAAATCTTTTTAAAAACTTTTATTTAAGAATAGAATAAAAATTTTTAGTTTTATAATATTTCTTAAATTTTTCAATATTTAGGCAAAATTTTAAAAAATTTTCTTTCGCTTGAAATTCTTGCAATAACTCTTAAAATCCAATGTAATATTCTTTTATAAAAATAATTATTTAAAAACTCTGCAATATCTAGTTAAGGTCCCAAAAGTTATTTTTATTTAAAAATATTAGTTTTTTCTTTCTAATAAAATTTTTTTTCCAAAATCACCATTTACTGTTTTATATTTCTTTGACAATAATAAAATACTTGTGATGCATATGAAGCAAATAAATAATGCAAATACAAATTAGAAGATTAAAATGATCAATTTAATTCATCTTATAAATCTTTAATTTTATCTCTTTTTATTTTTTCATCATTGTACCTTTAAAAAAAAACATTTAATGATAAAATAAAATCTTTTGGTGTCAAAAAGCTTTCTCTAATTCTTCAACATTTAAGTAGAATTTAAAAAGATTAATCTTTTAAAAAAATTTCATGATTAATTTGAGGTAAAGATGAAAATGATATCCCTTAGTAAAAGTGTGATTTGAATTCGCTTCAATATTTAGGTAAGATCTCCAAAATCATTTTTTTTTAATTGTCCTATTTTTTCTAAAAGAATTTTCTTTTTTTTGAAATTTTTATTTTGCTATTTCACATCTATTATTAATGCACAAAATGCATGTATGATAATTAGAACATAAACTAAATAATGCATGTAATTATGTTTTTTTCTAAACAAATATTATTTATGATGAAAATGGCATTTTTGTATTAGAAATATTTATTTTTATTTTTTTATTCTCTAATATCTAGATGGAGTTAAAATTTGAGAATTTCACATAATAAATTTTTAAAAAACAAAGATAATACTTTTTTGTAAAAGAATAATTATTTAAATTCCTTTCAAGTTATCCTTAAAAATTCGAAGAGAAGTGTTTATTCAATTAATTCGGATAAATTTAAATTGAACTATCTAAAATAAATATATTATTTTATTTTATTTTATTTTATTTTTATTAATCAATCAAATTTATAAATTTAAAAAATTAACAAATCAAATTAAATTCAATCAATTTAATTAATTTTTTAGATTAATCAAATAATAAAGATATTTAAGTTAAATTATATTTTAAATTTTAAATTGTTTATATTTTAAATAAATTAAATAAAATTATTCAATAAAATATTTAAATATAAAAAATATTATGTTAAAAATTTTAATAAATTATAAAATTAAATGATCTATTTCATGTTTTTTTATTTTATATTTGGATTATATTATATTTCGATTACAATTTAAGTTAATTCAATTTTCAAATCAAATTAAATGAAAACTGAAATTTTACTAAAATTATTTTATTAATTGATTGAAATTAATTTGATAGTCAAACGATTAACCAAATTAGATCAGTTCGATTGGTTAATTCGGTTAAAATCAAATTATGGATACCCTTAATTATAAGGCCCATTTAAATTTTGAAAGGATTTCAATAAAAAATTAAAATTCATTAAATAAATTTAAATATAAATTTTACTTTCATTTAAATTTTAAATAAAATTTTAAATAAAATATTTAAAGTCCGAACCTAGCTCGGTTTGATTTGAATATATATAAAAATTAATTTACATTTATAAAAATTAAAAATAAAAATTATATATATTTTAATATATATAATTTTTATTTTTAGTTTTTATATACGCATGAGTGAATTGAATTTTTTTTGTTAAACTTAATATAATTATTTTTTTAATTTTTTTATTTATATAAATTAAATTTAATGAATGGATTTAGGATTTTTGAACAATTAATTTATATTTAATTAATTTATAAATTAATTTAAATATGTTATTTATAGCAAATTAGGGATTTTATTCCTAAATGAAAATGAACGAAGAAATACTAACGAAAATTCTGTCAGTATTTCAAAAGTTAACTAAAAAAATTAAAAATATAAAATTTTATTTATTAATTTAAATTTCTTTTTTTTAAATCTAATTTTTTAATGAAAATTATTTATTAACAAAATTTGTTCGTAGGTAAAATACGTATCCATATTATTATCAACAGAAAATTTTGGTAACAAGTACAACGTCAAAATTTTGTAACTGCACTAAAACTTTACCCACGGCAAATCGATAAAATTTATTTCGTTGATATTTTTCGTCGATAATTCATCAATATTTAATTGATATTAAATTGAAAGTTTTCATTTTTTAATTTTATTGGTAATCCATTAATATTCTATTAGTAATTACAGACAAAAAAAGTTCATTTATAAAATTCTATAGATAATAAACATATTTATAGTAGCGAGATATGCTCAAACCTGACAATCAAATATTTACAAACATATAGGTTATTAAAAGGTTTATTTCCTTATGACCACCATAGTAAGCCTTCCCCCATCACCTCCATCTTTTTAACAAAAGGCGCTAATTATTTCCTTTTTTTTTTTTTTCTATCCATGTTCAAAATATAATGTAAAACTTTAGACTCCCCAAACTAAAAGTTTGGTTTTGCCTATGTCGTAGGTGACGGATTTTATTTTTTAAGAAATAGTTTTATGTATGGTCTGGTATTAATGATGTTCTAAATTCGATAACCAATGTGTTGAGGTTCTCTCACATGGGTTGTGAAAAGGGTTGGTGATTCCTTTACAAATGTGAGGGAAAGTCTTAATTTTTTAGCTACCTTTTGGATTGAGAAGGCTCAAAATCACCTAATACTAATATTTGAGTTTAAGTTACCAACATTTTCTAGTATATCAAGTACAGAAGCGCTCTCCCATAACCTGATGTATGAAGTGAGAGATCGTGGAGATTTTTTCACATGGGTTATGGAAGGGTTGGTGATCATTAAAATGATGAACATTAAAATTCTTTTTCTTTTATATGCAGAAGGAAATTAAGTGTTATGACTAGAATCCACCTTCATTAATGTTCGTTTTATTTAATTTAGGATTTGCAACTAATCACTTTCCAAGTGCTACTTTATGATCTTTTAACCTGAAAAACAACAAATGGCATTTAATTTGATTAACTAGTATTAATCTCGATATTGATACTGAGGATGAGAAAATACGAATGCAGGTATTTAAACAGGGAAAAACATGTAACAACTACCAACCATTGAAATTATGATCATGACTTATATTTAGGCATAAAAATTTTTTAGGCGCCAAAAATTATTTGATTTTCCATCATTTTTCTTGATGATATTTTGATTCATCACTGTCACAATTCCATCTCTTACTTTGTTACAATACATTGAAATCTTTTACTCATAATTTTTGTCATAAAATTCGTCACTGTTAGATATAATTAGTGACAATAATTTGTGACGGAATTTTTTTCCGTCACATTTGTTCCAATTTCTGTTAGTGATATTTATATTATAAAACCAAAGACATTTCGTTGATTTCCTAACTGGCATATTTGTATGACGGCAGGCATATATGTGGGTGATAACATGATGATTCAATTCATGGGACCTGGCGATTCCGATCGCACCTGCCTTGACTGTTTCCTCAACGGTCGCAATCTTTACGTTTGTGAACACGAAGTCTCCTACAGCAAAGCGCTTTGGGGAA